CTGCCGTTTGATATTGTACCGATATCCCCACGTCCTTTGATTGGCTGCGTGATAGCCATGTAGTTCTGTGCAACGACGATCAAACCTTCGCACGGTCCTGCCTCACCAAAACTGCGCAGACAACGTTGGACGGTGTTTCTGTGCGAACGCAACAAGTATACACTAGATTCAAGCTTGCCAATCGAACTGACAGACACGGCTTATGGGGTCTAGCAACTTTTTGTGTCAAGTTGTCGCTTTTTACGACCTAAACTGATTTCTCTTAGACATGCAAATCAGTAATACCCCTGTCGTTCAAAGCGCTCGGACTCCCAGGCAATCCGCAAGACCATTACTGTTCACCCTCTTTAACGTTAGAACTCATTCAGGAATACAAAGTACTGTGGGTTCACGGGCGTGTCCACAACATACTTCTTCTCGTCTGTGGATTCAGTGCGCGGCATCGCCTGCAGCCACTTTGCGCAGTCTTCGGGTGTCTTGCCGAGCCAGGGGGAGACGAAGGAGGATGGAATAGGAGGCTCAGTTCCGCCAGCATCTGGAGATGGCTTGTGAACTTCTGGACATGCCGGCAAGTCGTCGTAGGAGTCGGTCGCGACCCAAAAGTTCCAGCCCGAGTCGCCGTCACCATGGCAGGCGCGCTCAAGGACGGAGTTGAGATCCTGTAATTTTTAGTACCCGGCAGAGTTTCGATGCACCCAGCGTTACTGACCTCGTTCGTAATGCTCTTGTTGAGGACAAAGAGCGCGTAGGGAGGGTCGGACATGTTTGTTGTATGTAGTGGTCGATATGATTTGGAAGTAAGAAAGCTGCAAATGCTGCCAATTTGACTTCGCGGAGAAGCGGCGGCCTTAATGGTCCTGCTACTGACTGACGTCACTTGCGTTCGCACATGCATGCATTGAGGCGGAGCGAATGCTTACTTACGTGGGGCCGCTGCGCAGCTGCGCCGCACCTTATTTTCGACATGCAGCTGCACCGTAAGCTAAGACGGAGACCTTGAATCCCTAACACGTCCAACACAGCCAATGAACTTACATCGCTAATATCGATTTGTATTCATCGCGATTCTCCTCACGTTATGTATACTCATTCGCGCTGCGCATCGTTGGCGGCCTCGCAGAGTTCCAAAATACTTACGCCTGTAGACGTGCTGACGAGTTGGTCAGACGACCTTTGTATCTAAGACACGCCGGAGCTTATTGACATGGCGGGCCTTGAACTCTAGCTCTACGCCGATGGATGCCTAGGTACTATGCTGAGCATGAGTATCATGAGAGTATGAGGTAATGTGAGAAATGTAGTGTGCAGCCCCCAAGATGCAGCCGCCAGGATCAAAGTACTATGATAATGATAGTAGTATACGCTGAAGTAAGGGCATTCTTGAGGTGGTATAAGAGAGGTTGGAATGTCGTACTCATATCTCTTCACTACCAGCACAGTTCTTCGACTTCACACTTTCCTTAGTTGCTTGCCATCTTTCTCGCATCTTATTCGTACTTTGCGCTTTTCACTACCTCTCAGAGGTTTCCGATACCTTTCTCATCAAACAAGTCTGTTCCGTGGTCGACTATGCGTTATATCCTGGCTACTACTCTGCTGCTCCGGGCCTCAATGGGCTTGGAGCAGGGAAACAATGTGCCTGCTATTGTGGCACCCGGAAGGGCAGACAGAATGTTCGAGAAGCGCGCTGGAAAGGATTTCGGTACCCAGAAGATATCATGTGTTGGTGGAGAAGGTGCTTGTAACAATGCTTGTTACTACATTAATTGCGTGGTTAGTATTCGCCAGCTCAATGACCTTCACCTAGAACTGACTCGTGTCTGCGGTAGGCCCCATACGCCAACATCCCAAATCCAAACAGGGTCGTGTACATCGGGCCGAATGGCAATAATGGCGAGAACCAAAAGAATCGAGAGGCATCCGGCTGCTCTGCTGGAGGCTTTAGCCCCTGTGGTGAATTCCCATTTAGTCAGAAGTTCAGCGACAAGACGGCAGGTTTAGGTGAATACCAATGTGATGAGTGGCCTCCTGCACTGTCCCAGCAGTTCCCATTCGGCGACCCGAATCGATTGGCACCAAACAGTCTACGCTGCATGCCAAGCGGCGAGAACGGATCCATCGGTGGCAAGCTGGGTGCTATTGTAAAGAACCAGAACATGGTCCGCGACGACTTCTTTGACGTGGAATTCGACATCACCGGTGCTGATCAGAGTAAACTCAAGTTCTGCCAGCCGAATCCTAATCCAGGGGGTGTCTGCGGTTCCGACGGCATGCAGTTCGAGCTCTTTGAGAAGAAGATCCCTACCGGCAAGATCACTAGCTACTACAACCGTGCCGGCGATGACAACAAGTACAAGCTGTCCAACACAGTCTACGCGGAACTCTACCAGTGCAGCGTTGCCTTCACGCGCGATGGTGACGCGACTATCAAGGACGTCACGCTCAGTGACTGGGAAAACAAGGACACGACTCCAGTTGGGTGTAATTTGGCTAATGATGGCGATACGTGCGACTTGCAGGGCCTTCCCAACGATCTGCAGGTGAAGCGCACCGGCAGCTTTGGTAGCAAGCTAGAGTTCGAATACGCACCAGGCCAAGACGGCGTCAACGTTAATTTCTTCGATTGGGATTCGGACATGGAGGGCAACGGCCGTGGACCCTGGACCGACCCCGACACGGACCCGAACCGGCAACCACTACGCTTCTGCAAGGTCGTTGATGGAAGTGCTCCAAATACGCAGAGCTTCGAATGCTGGTTCCCTTGCTACAAGAATGCGGACGGCAAATAGACGATGCGGTCCAGTAGAGTACCCATCACCATTCCTCTTACATGATGAATCATAAACATGAGTCTGGCGTAGAACACGTAATCATAGACCGATAGATCTCCATTGCAATTTACTAGGTACACGGTATTGGTCTAGTGCGTAGCTCGTTCTGTCTTCCTACACCCTGCGATATCGCGGTGAGTTCTCCTTACTTCTATACGACACTACCATATCACGGACTATGACCTAACGCGGATTCTTATCCTTCAAACCCGCGTCTTCGGGTCCAAGCCAGAGAGATGGGCGACACTCGTGCTGAAGATCGCGCAAAGGAAATCTGTATATCCTCAAGCGATAAACCCCGGGTCTCGCGCATGCAGATTGCAAGCACCAGTAGTGTCAAGAGGGCAACCCCACCGAAGAGGAAGTACGCACCATAGGCCGACCTGGCCAGGAAGATTGGGGTCGCGAAAGCGACGAGCCAGTTCGCGAGCTGATCGGAACAAATCAGTAAGCAATGCGCAAGGGAATTGTGAAGTGTTCGTGGATAGGCAGCATAAACAATTTACTCACAAAACTACCACCCGTCGCCATCGAATTAGTGGTCGCACGGGTCTTGGTGGGTTGGATTTCCGACGCATATATCTTGCCAACGATAGCCCAGGTAGAGACGTATCCTAGAGCAAACACAAAAACGGAAACGATAACGACCCATCGTGCCGCACCATATGAGTGTACAGCATCCGCAGCGTACAGAGAGCCGATCAGAAGCATGGTCGCGGAGAGGATTACTCCACCGCAGATGGCAGACGTGCGCCGACCCCACTTGTCTGCGAGAAGTGTGGCAGGGATACTGAAGGCGAGCATAAGGATGGCGCTGACGCCAGATGCAAGGAATGATGCTGTTTGTGACGGTATTCCTGCTTGCGCAAAAATCGTTGGCGCGTACTGGGAGATCGTGTTAGCAAGTGCAATGACATCTTGTCTGCATGGCACAACACATACGTAGAGCACCCCATCGATGCCGCTGAGCTGAATGAAAGACAGTATAAACACTGCGAGCCATGTTTGCGATCGATAATCTTTCGTGAATATCAAGCGTAAGCCTGCCAGTACTCCAATCTCGTCTTCAGCAGCTGCAGTCTCGACAGGCCGTAACACATCTTTTTCCGCTTCAGCTGTCCCAAAGTCCAATTTCTTAAGCTCTTCCATCGCCTGGCTTCTTCTTCCATGCAAGATTAGCCAACGTGGGCTTTCTGGTAAGAAGAAAGACCCAGTCGCCCACAGTACTGCGAGCGCCGCTTGGAGGATGTATGGCAAGCGCCACGACATATCGCCTTTGATGTGAATGCTTCCGTAGCACGAGAAATAGCCAACGCACACCCCAATCGCCGCTCCAAACTGCGGCAGCGATACGAACTTACCGCGACTTCGACTCGGTGCGATCTCACAGATGTACACCCCAATGTTGGTGAGAGCAAACCCTTGGCCGATTCCCATCAAGGCACGTCCGACGAGAAACAGCCAAAGATGGAACGCAGCGCATTCGAGTATGCAGCCGATGGTGCACAGTACTGCGCCCGCAATCATGATGCGTAAGCGCCCAAACCGGTCTGCCAGATATCCGGCGATTGTTGCTGGGATGGCGCCGCAAAGCATGATCAACGAGACAGTGAAGCCGCGCATAGTTGGCGAGAGATGACCAAAAGTTCCAGTATAGGAGGGCATTTCAGTAATTGCACCTACTGAGCCTGTATCAAATCTGTCCGCAAGTTAGCATTTTTCGCCGTGCATTATTTTTCAGCATGTTATAGCACATGAAAGGAATTGATTGCGATTACGACATACCCATTGAGTATACCACCGAGCGCCACAAATGTGGACGCAAGGGCATAGCCTGGTATCTTCCGAGAGCTGAGTTGCATGGTTGATGATCCTTCAGTCGTGGGAAAGAGTTCAAGTGCAGGAGAGGTGAGTTTACAAGTCAAATGGAACCGTTGGTTCAACGGTTAAGTATCATCACCATTCCCCGCACTTGGAGACAGCGCAACTCCAGATGATCAATACGCGATGATCTTGATCATAGGCTCGCGCCAATAAGTGAGAGGTTCGCATATGTATCAAAGGAGGGGTGACGTAGGTGGCTGCTTATTCCACTCTTGCCGACGACGACGTTGGTCTCAGATAACAATGAGCTTACGGATCGGCATGAGCAGCGCTACATCATGGATCAGAAAGGCACGAGATTGCAGACTCTGGTCAATGGCGATGACTGTGTTGCTTTGCGGGTATGCGTTCAACGCATACCCTAGATCTACGCAATCGGCACGATCATGTCTTCCATGGATTCGAACGTGTGGGTGAGATAAGTAAGGATGAGAGTAAATCGGCAATCAGTCCTGATTTGTCGCTCAATGGTCACCACAAAGACTATCATAACATGCTGCGTGGATGTCGATCAAATAGGGTATCCAACTGCTTGTGCGACAATGTCGAACTCCACGATCGGGTGCCGGATCATACTATTCTCAACTGATAAAGTCTTCTCGATGGCGAAGTACACGAATGCTTCGCTGACTGATGTAGCGGAATGAATCGTCGCATGCGTCTTGAAGTCGAGACGTGAAGCCGCAAGATTGGGAATTGAGCGGTGAAATTTCCGTCGTAGAGGCATCGAAATTGTCGCCCTTCCGAATAGAGTTCGTCATCGGTGTCCACACAGTGCTTATAGCTTGACTGCGCGAGAGTGCATCGCATTGGCATCGATCATCGCGTGTCATCTCATGCGCAAGGAAGATGTGGCCTGGTGGGTGTCGCAACATCTTCGGCGGAGATCTGGTGCGCTCGGAGCACAGTTAGCGCGTTGCAGTTGGGCGCCTCCGAGGTTCCGACGCATTTGCATCGCCACACCACGACCGAGCTTCTCCTCATCCCGAGACTGCGCAATGCCCACCACTATTGATGTTGCTTTCTACAACATTACTTCGCGACTGCAGACTCCAGGATGGATAGCATCCATGCTATGCGCGGAAATCCAAGCCCAGCAGCAAAATCGCTGCGTTGGAAGGATCTGGTGGCTGGTCTCTCGATGACGAATCTATGCAGCTTACGCCACGTTCGCCACGTCACGTGTAGTCGTGTCGCGCGAACCTCTTCGTTTTGAAATTCTATTTCAGGTATCGGCCAACATCAGCGCTATTCACACTCGTTATGCAGCTTGGTTGCATTGGATGTGGGAAAAGTACGGCCGCCAGGCTTTCTCGCAGGAGCTCTACTTGATGGGGACCTCTTCATCACATCGCCATACTGGTACGAGTACTGGACCCGTCGCGGCACCACAATATGCGATGCCTTGTGCTCGGATGCTCGGAGTGGCATTCCTTTTCATTGGGAAGAGTTGTATCGCATTCGCCTCGCTGATCACCAGACAAGTAAACAAACGCCAGCAATCCGCACTCCTCTATGCTCACTCAATACAAGCATGAAGGACGATATGATTGATTTATGAAGTAGAGTGATAAGTCACAGCTAACATTCGAAGATAGTCTACTCCCGATCTAGCGAGCTTCCGAGGTTATGTTACTAGGCTTGTTGCTAGGTGCTTGTCTTCTCAGCGTCAACGGTGTTGTTCCTTCAGTGTCGTTCCAGAAGAGCTCGTAGATGCCGTTCTTCTGCGACTGCATGCCGCTGAAAGAGGTCGCGATGCTGCCATCGTCGCCGTAAAGCATGGCCGTGGACCCGTAGAAGGCGAAGCCAGAAGTATGCGTGGTAGCGTTGCCGGTACCATCGTTCGGCGGAAGGAAGCCAACACGCTTGTCGCCGGACGAGGGCTCGGGAACGAACAACGTAACGTTGGACCACGAGGGCGCAATATCGCCGGCAGTGACGTTTGGATTGCCGACGAAGTGGTGATCAGAGTCCGTAGTGACTGACGATGTCAGTGAGTTGAAGCACATGTCGCTGGGAAGCGGACACGGAAGGACCCGTGAAACCTCAGAACTTACAGATCACGACAGCAGCATCCGAGCTGTTAGCAAGGCTCGGATCACCAATGTAGGCGAGGCCATCCGCATAGAAGAGCGGCAATCCACCAAAGCCATCGCCGTACGCGTACAATTGGAATGTTGCGGACGGGGACACGTCGCGCTTGCGCGCACCCAGGACGACAAGAGGAAGGGAGGCAGCCAGAAGGTTTCGCATGTCGAGACGCATCTTGCAAAGAATGGATCTTGATCTGACAAGAAGAGGAGTCAATAAAGGAGTGTGGGGAAAGTTGGGTGACAGTCTGTTTTTCCTGCAGCATGTACTCTTTTATGGAAGTCGACACCAATCGTGGAAAAGTTCTCTTCCCAAGATATGGACAGGCAACGCAAGCATGCCGCGAGGCCTCTACGCCCTATCGTTGGAATCAGAAAGCCGACGTAACGTCGCAACGCTATCTCGGACGACATCCGATGCCTACGACACTCGGCGCCCAACACACGTACGCAGGAAGATTCGCACTATTGGCGGGCGCGTCCGCCGCGTGACTCCCTGCTACCAGGTCTGTAGGCCACGAATGCTGGCTATATCGGAATTCACCCAGTTCGTAACATCTGCTTGTGGGTGTTTGTTTAGACACAACCAATCATGTGGCTTGTGTTCCTGAGTCGTGATGGGACGTGCGGTGTCTTGGCGCTACCCGTGCCTTCAGGCGCGGCGCTTTCGCGGCTCTCAGCCACAGTTTGTTACCCTGCTGTTCCCCCGTGACGAGGCTCTGTCAACAACCTGGATTTGTTTCATGATCATCATGGATTGCGCGTGTCATGTTATCACCGTCGGTGGAATCTCTCCTAAACTCTCAATCGACTTAACAAGAATAGTTACGACTACATGTGGGCCGTACAAAGTTTGCTTTAGGCTGAGTCGACTAAAGTAAGTTAGCGGCTCTGCGATGTGGAGGTCTTCGCTGCCTCAGTATTATGCCGCGCGGCGTTGAACACTGGTGGGGATAGCAGAGGGGCAGTTTGAGGCACGACGACGAACGTCGACTATTGTCTGCACGGTGATATGATAGCAGGGTGAGGTGAAGAAATCTCAAAGGTATACTGATCTCCAAAGTATATAGGTCAATCACTCGTTCCGTACTAGAAATCATCCAGCTTCTCTCACACTCGCTTTCATTGCTCTACACTCCTTTCTCGTGCATTATTTGGGAACACTCGTTGTGGATACGTCCTTCTTTTTGTTAGCGTAATCAGACTGCGCTTCGGTCCATATCATGCTTCTTCGCTGTATCTTCAGCATCGCAGCTCTAGCTGGCTATGCTACTGCCTTTCCCTTCACTTCGGATCTACGACCCAGAGCAGCCTGTGACGGAAACACTGCTACCACACGTTCAGAATGGTGTGACTATTCCATTGATGTAGACCCATCTGACGACGTCCCCGATACTGGGGTTACTCGTGAATACTGGTTGGAGCTCACGGATGTTACTGTTGCACCGGACGGCGTGTCACGCTCAGCCATGGCTGTCAATGGGTGAGACAACATCGCTATCAACTACATTTGCGACACACACTGACTCCACTTGCACCTTCAGATCCATTCCTGGCCCAACCCTCATTGCAGACTGGGGCGATACTGTCGTTGTCCATGTTACAAACTCGCTCACAACTTCAAACAACGGCACGAGCATCCATTTCCATGGTATCTGGCAGCTGAACACAAATGACCAGGACGGTGTCAGTAAGTAATCCTAGATCACGAACGGACTGTAAGAGAGTGCTGACTTCTTACTCCCACGACTAGGCTCGATCACGCAATGTCCGACAGCCCCGGGTGAATCGATGACCTACACTTGGCGAGCGACGCAATACGGTTCCTCATGGTATCACTCCCACTTCGCGCTTCAAGCATGGCAAGGTGTTTTCGGCGGCATCATCATCAACGGACCCGCTACCGCCAACTATGATGAAGATCTAGGTGTACTAATGCTCAATGATTGGGATCATCAGGTGTGTTCATGCCCACAGGAAGCTCAGTCGTTAGACTCCACTAACTCGATGTAGACTGTTGACGAGCTCTATATCACCGCCGAGACTTCTGGACCTCCAACACTAGACAACGGACTCATCAATGGTACGAACACGTACGAGGACGGAGGCTACCGATTCAATCAATCTTTCACTTCTGGCACATCCTACCTATTCCGACTTGTAAATGCCGCCGTGGATACACACTGGAAGTTCATGATTGACAATCACACCATGACCGTGATCGCTTCTGATCTTGTCGCTATCGAACCCTACGAAGCCACAGTCATCAGTATCGGCATGGGCCAACGTTATGATATCGTCGTAACAGCCGACCAAACCGATGCTACTGACTTCTGGATGCGTGCCATCCCTCAGTCAGCCTGCTCCGAAAACGATAATGAAGATGACATCCGTGGCATCATTTATTATGGAGACGCACCCGGTACCCCCACTACTTCGGCCTACGACTACGAGGACAGCTGCTCCGACGAGACCGACAACATCGTGCCATATGTCTCCAAGACCGTTGGTTCCACAGCTGGTGCCACAGCTGACGAGCCTGTCGCCGTTGGGTTTAACAGCGACAATCTCTTCAAATGGACGTTGAACAGCACAACCTTCGTCTCTGAATGGGAAGATCCCACCCTCATGAAGATCATGCAAGGCGAAACGGCCTTTGAGACCTCCAACGCAGTATTTTTGTTGCCCAATGCCAATGAATGGGTCTACGTCGTCATCTCCACGACGCTCGCTGTGCCTCATCCAATCCACTTGCACGGCCATGATTTCTACGTCATCGCGCAGGGCACAGGTACTTATACCGATGGCGAGACAACTCTCAACCTTGACAATCCGCCCCGTCGTGATACCGCTATGCTTCCTGCATCCGGGTACTTGGTATTGGCGTTCGAGACGAACAACCCCGGGGCTTGGCTGATGCATTGTCACATTGGATGGCATACGTCTGAGGGCTTTGCGATGCAGTTCGTCGAGCAGTACGACGCAATTGCGGGCATCACGAGCAATGACACATTGATCAGCAACTGTGACAGTTGGACGAGTCATACCGAAACGGTCGGTATTGAGCAGGATGACTCCGGTGTTTAGTTCGCGGAATATGTTTCTGCTGCCACCGCTATGGCCCAATGTGTCTGGTTTCAAAGTTATAGCTGTCAACGGTTTTCATGTAGTGCAGCCTGTCCTTCTAGCGCGCTTGCCTTCCATCGTCTGAGCTATCTCCAGTAGTGGTGATCCTTAGCTCCATGTGTATACGCTCTTTTGTACCCCTAATTGCAATCACACCACGTTCTTTAGAGCTGTTCTCTGTTCACTTGCCCTTATAAACGTTGTGTTACATTTACTACTTATCGAAGATTTCCGACATTTAACTTCAACATTAACGACGCACACATGATCAGCACTCATAGGATACACACGTGCGCCTGCTATCTCAACAAAATTCAGGCTTCTGGGCCCAGAGAGCAAAGAGCTTGTAAGATCCGCCTGTCTTACGGAGCTCTCCCACGAGTCTAGCTGGCAATGAGTCAATGTCTGCCTCAAGCTCAACTGGCTGTAGTGTCTTGAGCGTGGCCGTGGCGAATGAAGCTGTCGCAAACATACTTTGTAAGCTAAGCTCACGCACATCATCCTTTGCCTTGAATCCTACTGGCACATCGATGATGGCGTGTTGTATTTTCGTTAGACCCGCCTTCTCGAACAATGCCGTCAGGCTCTTTCTCATGTCCACGCCCTGTCCATTAGTGACCATGCCCACAAGCTGCCGCATGGCCTGTTGAAATTCTTGGAGCACTGGACCGGCATCCCAGTCCTGCCACTGCATCTCGACCAGCTGAATCCAGCCACCAGGCTTCACCAATTTGACCAGGTTCATGACAGCATCCTCCAGTGAGCTGAGACCGACGCCCGGAAGTGCCATACGTGAGTGCACTAGATCGAATGTTCCTTGCCATTGTAGCGGCCACGGCTCGGTCATGGACTGGTGATGGTACGAGGTGTCGTTTGGAGTCTCTTTTGGGAAATAGCTATCTTCAATGTCGGTTCCTATCCATGTGTTCGAAGCACCTCCGGCCGCCTGGCGCACATCTCGAAGCCAGATACCTTTCTTCGTTAGCTTTGAACAGTTCTTTGGCTCGGAGGTAGCTACCACTACCGGTAGCCTGGTCCAAGACCCGGTATCCGCCTGCTCCAAGGTCGATGGGTGCGAGAACGAGCTGGGGCATTGCAGAATAAACCACTTTGTGCTGCTTGTCGAGGCGCTGGACCTCATCCTCGTTAGCGGCAAAGATGACGTTATCATCGTTAAGTCCAGTCTTAGAGATGGAAGTAGACGAAGGCATACTGCCGGTATGAAGTGGTTCAAGAAGAAGAGAAATCGGAAGTCTTTCGGTTGTAAATATGTATTACTGGCGGCCGAGTTGACGCTCGAAGATAAAGCTTTAAGCTGATTCTAGATGTATTTCCTCTTGAACATTACGCCCCGTCTGACTGTATCTTGTCTATAATCGGGGTTGCACAGTGCTAAAAGTCTCCGTCGTGAATCGCGTATGTCTCCGCAAGGGTCGAATGTCTCCGAATCGTCAGCAGAAAATTTTGCTACTGAGTGACAATTGTGATAATCTCTTGATCTTCGTTTCTACATTTTGATACAATCCTTCGCCCATCTGATCATTAACTAGCTTCGTACATCGAACTCTATGCATAGTCGCAATCCGCTGGTGACAAGTAGCTACACACCTTTGAGTAACGTGAGTAGATTGCTCGGAGGGAACTTACGAACTGCCCTCGAGTGTAAGCATTAAGAAAGGACCGGAATAACTGACGGAGGTGCAGATATTGCGAGTGATGAAAACGACTGAGATTTTGATACATAGTCTCCCAAATCGGTTTACCAAATATCCACAAACTTGAGAACAAGACAATGACCATGTCGGGAAAAGCTTCAACCTCTAAGAGGTCGTCCGATTTGCATGCATGCGCATTAGGTGATCCATCAACTTGTCCTTCCTCGGGAAAGCCTTTCCCCTACAGCGCTTGCTTCTACTGCCTGATGCGATAACAACGTTAGTCACTCGTTTCTTGTTATCCTTTCGAAGCTAGCGAGCTTGGATGTGAGGACTTCAGGGTTTTTGTGAGAGACGACTCACATCCATCGACTGGGCACCAGGTGCGCTGTCC